ATAAACTGCCATTTTTTCCTACGACTTTTTCATTTCCTATTTTACCAAGAACTTTTTCTAGGGACTTTAATTTAAAAAACAGAAAAATTTTAAAAAAATTTCCAAGGAAGATTTCTAAGTTTTCTGCGGGCTTGTTAAAACAACCCCGCGATGTTAGCAGGGGGAAAAATGATTGGTTCGAAAAGCTCACAAGGAGCGGAAGGGGACCCCCAAAAAAGGGGGGCAAAAACGATTAAAGCGGGGACAAACCCACCCGCGTCATTTTTTCCGAGTTCGAAGGGAGCGCCCAACCCAAAAAATCTTTGTTCCTTGAGGATTCTTTGGCATGGTTCCCATGTCTGCGCATCCAAGTTCGGTCCCCACCTTTCCCCTTTCGCCTTTAGGGGACAAGCCACTGCGGAAAAAAAAAAAAGCGTCGGTCGAGGGGCGGACTCGGGGTTTGAAATTTTTCAAAAATCGCCCAAAAATTTTTTTCGCCGGAAAGGGATTGAGCGTTGAGGGACCCCTTTTTTCTTATTGAGGTGGCGGGATTATATTCCCGCCCAAAGGGGGGAACAAAATTGGTTGCGGTCTGTGACAAAAGTAAAATTAAAAACTCTGGGAACCAAAATTTTAAAAACTTCGAATTTCATTTTGGAATCCCTCCGTTTAAGCAAAACAGACCACTTTTTTACAAAAGTGAAAAACCATTGATGTATTTTTTCAAAACAGGGACGATATCGTGAATTTATTAGTCTTACACAACGAAACCATTGGAAAAAAAACGTCACTATATAGTAAACCCACATACCCACTGTGTAAAGGGTACCCACCGCGACCGGGAAAGGGCATTGTTGTTCACATTCTTTATTCGTACCCACCTTCTTCCGGTTTCGTACGAACAAACCAATACCGTTTCAACGCCACTTTGTTTATTTTTAATTGGTATGTTGCCGCTTTTTGGAATTACTTTCTTGGATTGGAATGCGAACATTTTTCCATTGTCAGGCAAAAGTTGTCGAGGCTTAGAAAAATGGTTTTGGGAAAAACCCTTCGTTTAAAAAAAATCTTGTCAACAGGGTCATTGTTTTACTTGCGGGAAAAAAATGAAGGGAACAATTTAAACTCGTGACTTGTCTTGTTGTAAATTAAAACCGAATAAACCAGTATTATATTTTTTATTAAAAAAAATAATAAAAAAAATTTTAAATCAAAAATTAATATGATAAAAATTTTATTAAAATATATTTTAAAACTTAAGCTGCGGGGTAAAAACCCGCTGCGGCTGGTAAAAATCGTTTTCTTTTTGCTACTAATTCATTACTTACTAAAATAAATGGGGACACAATAAGGGAACATTGGCCGGTCTAAAAAAATCGGGGGACAATAACAATTTTTGTCCACACAATATGGAATATTTAGAAAAATCAGTGTTGAATTAAGATAATAAGCATGGCGAAACTGCTTACGTATGACATTTGTATATGACAGCCCCACAACCCCAACTTAGCAACCCCTGGACAAATATTAATTTATGGTTGTTAAAAATTGACCAAAAAAAAAGTTATTATAACAGCAATGTACGAATGGGGTTGCACTTTCATTTGAAACCTCTTGCATAAAAACAATGTTTTTCGTGCTTATTCTCTGTGGAAATAGCCCTGTAAAGATTCCTGGGAGTCTTCGAACTGTTGAGCTCCCACGTACGGCATGCACGTATGGCCACTTACGGCACGTAACAGCCTGTATACGAATGCGGGTGCGCCTTTCTATTCAAAGCCTGTTGATGAAAGGCGCCGCCCACACCTGACATCGCTTCAGCGCTTCATCGTTTGTAAAATCGGTCTCATCGGCTCATCGGCTATCGGCTCATTCGGCTCATCGCGTTCAAAATAAAAACATGTGGGTGATTGGAACGATCACCGCATAAAAATAAAATCGTCTACAACATGAACCGCACACACCTACCCGATATCGGCTGATTTCTATCGGGGGCCGATCAAATCGCCTTACACCCCGTGAAAAATCGCTGGTGTGCGGCGCTTAAACAATGCCAGTCGAACCTCTAGAACTGGCCTGTTGCTCTGTTTAGCTCGGTGCGTCGGTTTCGGTTTCACAATTACCAGCAGCTGATGTAATGAGTGATCGATTTTCTCTGGTGTGGCCGAGCACTGTACAGTCAGCTGCCTGACATTGTGTGAAAGCATTCACGAATGTGAGGCGGTTTTTTCCACGGATTTTTCCGGTGAGTTTGACCGTTTGCGCAGGTTTTTTTCAGCTAGGAACACTCCCCGGGTATAGAGATGGCCCCTGTGAAAATTTGCATTTCCAGACGCTTGGGGCGGTGGTTGGCCGCCATATAGGAAGATACATACATACATACATAAGCATACATACATACGAACTCAAATATATATTAGATATATATGTTACATACAGTGCGCGTTTTTACTTAGGGGCTACTAAAAAGTAAATCATGTTCCAGCAATTCCTGTTCAACAAGTAGAAGTCCACTGATTTGGAAATGCTAATACTGAAATATGTATGAGTATCTAATAAACACAAAACGCTAATACTGTTATTAATAATGGAATAACTGAACAAAATTAAGCGTCCTGCTTCAACTGTAAGGCGCCTGTTCACATTTGCTGCTAATTTCATGCCCTGTACTATTATATACATAAATATGTAGTATTGTATGTTAGTCAGTGAAACATCTTGTACTGATAGGGTTAGACGCAGACACTAACCTCAAACAAGAGCCGCAGAGCGGCTGAGCTCATCTTGGGGTCTGCTTGCTACGGTTATAAACTTCAGTCGTGGTAGTGACACATTTGTTAGGCGCGCAAGAATATTGCAGCATTACGCAGTTGCGTACACATCATTGTTAGGACACGCGCCTCACTATCTCCCCCCATGCGATTTTGCGTTTATTTTATTAAATGATAACTTGCCTTTCACTGTCGAATTTGTGTCATAGATTCAAGCTATCTATTTTTATCTGATCTATAAAAGATTTCAACATATGAGCACATTCGGATCTCAAGTTTAATTGAGGGGGCGCGGAGTCTTCCTCTCCCACCTGCCCTCCCACTGCGTCCACCTCCCTCCCCCTGCGCCTCCCACTCTCACTCCCTCTTGCTTCTCACTTCCCCCCTTACCTCCATCTCCCTCCCCCTACTTCGACCTCCCTCCCCCTGACCTCCCACCTCCCATCCCTTGCAAACATCTCGCTGACGACCTAATGTAACCCCGTTTCCCCGCTCGCATACACACCGTATCATCGTTCCTGTCCCCGGCTCAATTTACTACTCTCTCTCTCTTTAATCTTAGACTTTCTCTCTCTCTCGTTAATTATATTAAAAAAATTAAAAACCCACGATGATGCCTTGTTACTGCCCCCTATAATGCGTTCTCCCTATGCCCACTGAGCTTAACAGTCATAGAAATCATAATAGAGAGTGTCTCTAATATTCATATGGTAAAACAAGCCTTATGTTCGCAAACTGGTAAATTGGATACGCACGCGGCCATACTACATGATATATGTTTAAGATTCAAGATGAAAAGTAAATTATATATGTATAATATGGTACTAGTTATTATGTTATTCGTTTAACAAAGTTACGAATGAGAATAAATTAATTTAAACTAGGGCCTATAGTGTGCCGCGAGATGGCCGCGTGCAAGTGATAATCCAATAAATCAAAGATGGCATCGTATCCTGAACGCCTACAGTAGCGTACAGGCTAAAAATCCAGTTAGTATATATCAGCAGTTGCTCAGCTGTGAGTTAACACGTGCCATTGCAGCTTGTTGGCGAGGCAACAATTATTGTAAGAAGCGTGCCAGCCATGCGCTTGCCTGTGTTTTGCCTCCGTGAGGCATTCACTATTGCATTCATTCACCTTCAGGCCTGAATGCCAGGTGCGTATGGACAGAACTGCTTAGAAAATCATATGCATTTAAGAGGAGCGTCAAACCTTGTTCAACAAACATTTGCCTTTGCAAATTAAACTGTGCAACTGTAGCCTCACATTGACACAGGCTCACCCTGCGGCTCTAATAATAGCAAAAGCAGTTCAGTCCTTTGTTGCACAGTGAACAAATCCATGTTTAACACCTTCCTCTTTGAGCGGTCAAAAGCGCTTATCGACACATTACTCTTCCGCATCGTCAAGCCAGAACGGGACATTCATGCGTCCTTTCAATAAAGCGCTAAGAAATGCGTAGGATCACGCTGAACAAACAAAAAAGTTTTTCAATCGCCTCCGTCAGACCATGTCCCTCAGAAAATGTCTAAAATCTGCCCTGTGCCCACTGGACTATTGAACCTTGTGACTCAATTTCGGCACGAGGATGGCTTTTCCTACCATGATGCTATACACCGACGTATCACGAGCCCTAGGTCGAGCCATTAGATTTTGCTGCCCGCAATTCTGCATTTCCTCCCTTATACCTTAAAGTTAATGAATGTGAATGTTTCCCCCATTCTTTTACACCTCTTGACCTTTGACCTTTGCTACCCCAGGCTTCGAACATCCCAACTTCCGTTTGACGATTCCCCCAACGACCCGATATCGTGACCGTACGTCGAGCCGGTCTAAGATTTGTGCCCAACTGTTGGACGGACGACGGACCGGACGGACGCACGGACGGACGATCAAGCGATTCTACAAGCTGCATCTGACTATGTCAGATGAGCTAAAAAGCTTTTACCTAAAGCTTCTATAGATCTGATAGATCAAATGCCATCCAAGATAAAAATGCAAATATTTTGATATTGTTATAATATGGTTATAAATACAGTTATAATATAATTATATTATATAAAGGTAGTTATAATATCTACTTACCAAGCTTCCTCAATAAAGTTGATCACAGTTTTCTTCACCTCTAGCGACTTATCGTGTTGAAATGAAAGCATTTCCTACAAAAGAAATCGATGCAAACATAGAAAATATGAAACTTTATGCAATAAAGAGAAAGGTGAAATACATGCCATGAGAGGAATATTCTTGTGTTATGACACGAAAAAACCTTATTTCTGATTTTATTTCAACATATTATTTAAATATCCAACTTACATCCAAGAAATTATCCAGGAGATTTGCATCTTTTTTTATTATAAGCTCTTGCACCTGAAATAAAAATAATGTACTATTATTAATAAATAGCCTTGGTTGATTATTTTTCAAATTTCGTACGTACCCGTATACTTATTTCCTGTTACAGCCAAGATAAATAGATGTCTGTATGTCAGGAAATTGTCTTTCCATAGCTGTTTTTGAGTCTGTATGATTTTAAATCGCAATCAATACAAACCTGCTTCAGATTTGTGACCCTCTGGCTGTCTAGTCGTAACAGAGACGCTTCGTTAAGAAGCCTAACGACCTGCAATTAACAATAGTGATGATTATCAGAGAGGGGCATTCAGACCCGTAGGGAAGTGGGGTGCGACGGGTGCGGAGGTCCACTTTTTTGTGGACCAACGATTTAAAAGAAAGTGAAATAATACGGATTTACAACCTCATTTCTATTTTTGTTCTTTTTAAATAGTGACATTGTTATTCTCTCTAGTCTGTTTGCCAAAAAATCCATTTTGAAGTTAAAAAATTTGAGAAATGTCTACGTTTTGAGGTTCGCTTTTGGCTGCCTGTTTTCATGTCACACTGCCTTCAAAACGTGCCAAAATGCGGTCTCAGACAACATATTTTTCAAAATTTTCCGGGGTGGGGGGTACGTATACGATGAGACATCAGAAATCCTGACTAGTAACAGACTAGTAGCAATGGATCTGCCATGCATTATCCTCACACATGCGCCCGTGTGCGTGTCTACCTACCGCAGGCTGCGTCTGTCCGACCCCGTAGCCCGCGTGTACGAGCTGCGTGCCCAGTAGACGCGCGACGTGTCTACCTACCGCAGGCTGCGTCTGTCCGACCCCGTAGCCCGCGTGTACGAGCTGCGTGCCCAGTAGACGCGCGACGTGATGTATCTGTGCCTCGGTGCCCGCCGCTGCAATCGGTGTGTACGTTGCCTGGAACTGCGCCGGCATCAGGTCCGGGAGTGTCACCTAGTCAAAACAAGAACGTCCTTACAAGAGCTATCATCATTATCGTAGTTGACGTCGTCATTATCATCGTTGATTTCATCGTTATCATCACAATCGTCGTCATTGTCATCATCAACATCATCAGCATCACCATCAACACCATCATCATTATCACCATCATCACCATCATCATTGTCATCATCATCATCCTCACCATGCTCAGCAGCACTAGGTCTGCTACGTTGGCCACCGTCAGCCTCGGTATCAGGTCTTCCGTCGTCAACTCGATGACACTCTTCTCCACCACCTTTGGTTTCTTCTCCGGCTGCTTAGCGGGCGCCGGTGTCTCACCGCCGAGGTCGTCGATAATCTTCTCCTGCGAATTTCAAGACGCGGCTTGAGTTAATAATGCGGGTTGAGTTAACGACGCAGATTGAATTAACGACGCGGATTGAGTTAACGACGCAGATTGAGTTAACGACGAAGAATAGAGATCGCAGTTAAAATATATAAGGCTAACACATGGAAACAAAATACTGGAAAAAAAACACGAAAATATTGGATATTATCGAAAACTGTCTAATGGTATAGTGTAGTCTATGAGGCCGTAGTCTGTCTGGAAGAAAGAGGAGGGCAGTGCCTAGAATTTTAAGAAAAATAGAATGAAATCTTAATAACGGTAAATGATATTACAAATACGTGCGCATCACCACGTAGCCACCCATGAAACCCTCGTCGCACCTACGCCCCGCCCACGCTCCGCATGTTGCCTAGAAGCTGCTCCCCTTCCTCGTCGTTAACCCAGCCAGAACACGAAATTTCATCCCCTTTAGAATAAGCTATGGCCCCCGGCTCTCGAGCGGCCGGAGACGTTACGATAATATTGCACGCACCTCCAATCCTTTGACTCGCTTGATCTTCTTCTCATCCGAATCTTCGTCTCTCTTTCGCTTCACTATCGGCTCAAGAAACTTTGGCAATGCCTTCATCACCTGCAAGCGTTCGACATTTCATTCCATTATCGATACCAACAAAAAAATAATCGACCCATCCGCCTGGAGTTCCTTGCAGGTAGCTCTAGCCAATCAGGGTTGCGATAGGGGTTGCTAAAAACACTGCTCTGCGACGAAGCATGTCAACATTTTGGCATATGTGTGGAAAACAAACTACAATGTATTTTTACGCGTTTGAACTGGCGTAGCTTAACCGACCAATATCAATATAGCAAGAACAATATCTACGGTACACTCTCAATGGTAATACACATACGAGTACACCATCGCTACCGTCGGCTTCTTGTGAGTGTTCTGACTCGTAACATTTGCCTCCGTTAATGTGAATTTAATTAAAAATCCATTTTTATAGTGGTTTATTGTACGTTTTTTTCTTCTATTATTTTCGTCACAAACTATTTGTAATATTGCTCCATGATGTATAGAGAGCGTGCTATAACAATCACAGCTCCCCATGAGGCAGCATTCACTGGCATGTTGCTGTATGCTACTCTGCTGTCCCTACCTCACTGTTAGTCGCCCCTAGATCCGTTAGCAGCGTTGTCATCTGGGCGTGGCAGTCTATGGAGGCTGGATGCTTCAGCAAGATCAACAACTGCATCTGTGAGCCAAACGATACAAACACGCATTACACATTACTCCGATCGATTGATTATTGAGTGGTTTATTGATTGAATAAATGGTCGATTATTAATCCTAATCTCTGCCTTCGTTATAACAAGGATTCGCCTGACGATGATTAAAAATCCGGCTCACCCCCAAGATCATGACGACACAAAAACTAACATGGAACATTATATGTTTAAGAATGCCGCTTAACGATAAAACGTTGAATAATCTGTTTTATTTTAACAGGCGTGACTCTCCATGCAATAATCGAGGACACTGGAGTCACCCACGCTACCTTGAGAGTCTTTCTAACGCTGCTGACTTGTGACTTTGCGAGGGTAGGTGGCAAATTTGCTAAAACAGACAAACGAACGCCTCCGATTATTACAAGGAAATTCCACACATCGTGCGTGACGTCACAGCTACGACATTTGTCTCGTAGACGGGCATTTCCAGAATCTCATTCATGCGTAGGAATGATACAGTACTGTATACACTGTATATTTCGCGGTGGTTTAATTTTCGCAAATTTCGCGAATGTGTCCCTGACCGCGTAAATAACAACGCGGGAAAATAACAACACGCTGTTCTTCACTGATTCGGGAATTCACCGACTGCGAAATTAACCACTCACGAAATTGTCCGTCAAGTCTGAATTTGCGAAAATATCTGTATGCGAAAAATATGGCGTATACAGTATGCTAATCCTGATGTTTGCGCATAAATCCACATATCCATGTATTCAGTCATGCCTTTACTGGGGGACTATCCAATTTAAATGAGACAATCCTTTGAGATAAAAGTATGATGTCAATACAGTGTCACAATAGTTTTGTGAACCTTATAAAAATTATATATATATATACATGATAACAACAACAATAATAATAATAATAATAAACGCACCATGCAATGATTCGAATCCCTGCATCACCTGGTACATGAAGTGTGGTCTCTGTCTAGATATAGCTGTTAGTGATCCCATGCATGCCATCAGGTTCACGCTGCAATGTGACGCAAAGACGGCAATGAAAACTTACACCACAAACACACGTCCCTCCAACTACCAACATTTCATCACAGTGGCATTCCTATTTGTTTGATAATTACTGATTATCAAGTTATTATTATAATTATATTTATAAATTCTCTTATCTAACCATTTAACAACATGAATATTACTGAATCATAACGAATAAATCATGATTCAGAATCATGAATGAACTGAATTATTTATGAATAATAATATGTGAATTTACACACACTAGCTCACAGCATAGAAAAACCATGAAGAAAATCTATCATAATTCATCATACAACCATGACTCTTAGATATCAACGTTCACTCCAAATCCAGTTGCTATTGGATTTGAACGAAAAAAGTCAATGCATTTCGCAACGAAATGAGCAACGATGAGAACATGGCGCCACCTGGAGATGGCTGGATGTGCCATGAAGCCCAGTAGCAGCTGGAAGGCATTGTTTCCTTCTCCTTCCAGCTTCTCCGCCTTCAGGAAGATGTGATCCTTCGGGATCTTCTCCAAGCTGATGTCATCCCTCAGATTCTTAGGGATCTCCGAATCCTGCAGCAGGGAAGTGAAACTAACATGTGTTTTAGTACAAAATAGGCCCGTAGCGAACATTCCAGGAGGTAGTACATTACATTACCAGTACGAGTACATTATACACCGAGTATACAAACCGCTTCGGAAAGCACATCACGATATCATCCAACATTATGATTTAAAAACTTAAAGTATGGCAATAGATGCATCAAAACATCACAAAATGTTTGTGGTAATACAGGGGTGGGAAGAAAAGGGGTGTGAGGAAGAGAGGTCGAGCAAGAAACCAAAAAAGCTTGGTTAGACATGATGAAGGGTTTTTCCCAGGAATTTCAGAAAGCATGTTAGTTATGGACAGATGGGGGAGAGGGCTGTACCAATTGGAGTCAATTACGCACGTCAAAAGTGGCCCCAATATACAGGTAAACTCTATCAGTAAGGAGACGAATACATCAAGCTATGAAAACACTGCATGACTGTGCTGGGACTGTCAAAACCAAACACAGCTAGAAATTAAAGCATGTCGATTAGGTAATATGTCGGAGGACATAAGGACATAGGCCATGAGGGATCTCGCAAATCAGCAAATCGCGAATGATCTGGTGAGAAGCCCGATGATGGGTTAGCAACCTACCGCAGACCTGGCTGTATTAACCAGCACTAGCATCTCCACGTATTTCACCGCGTACGTCCTCAACCTGAAAATGCAAGTGCCACCAATCAAATCGCGCGCGAGGCAAGGCTGGGGCAGAGACACCTGCACGTACGAGAAAAAAAACTGCGCCCCACGGTTCGTACGCCGTAGACAATACGACGTTTGAGGGATTTTTTCCAGCAGCTTTCTGGGATTTAAAAGGTCTGTGTGCCATGACCGAGAAATTTTAACCGAATACAATATTTGTTCCTTGTAGTTGTATCGTCCGACCATTCGTGAGCAAATTCGCGCACAAAGCCAATTTTATTTCCTCTTGGGTTAGCAAGACAAGTGCTTAATTTCAGATGACTTTCTAAGACCAAAACCAATAACTGCCATTTTTTCTACGACTTTTCATATCCTATTTACCAGAACTTTCTAGACTTATAAAAACAGAATTTTAAAATTTCAAGAGATTCTAAGTTTTCTGCGGCTTGTAACAACCCCTCGATGTAGCAGAAATGATGTCGAAGCTCAGGAGCGAGACCAAAGCAACGATTAGCTGGACACACCCGTCATTTTCCGAGTCGAGGAGCGCACAAATCTTGTCCTTGAGATCTTGCATGGCTTCCCATGTCTGCTGCATCAAGTCGTCCACCTCCTTCGCCTTAGACAGCCACTGCGAAAAAAAGCGTCGGTCGAGACTCGGGTTTGAAATTCAAATCGCCAAAATTTTTCCCAAAGATTGAGCGTTGAGACCCTTTTTTTCTATTGAGGTGACGATTATATTTCCCGCAAGGAATGGTGCGTCGTGACAAAGTAAAATTAAACGTTGGGAACAAAATTTAAAACTCGATCATTTGAATCCCTCCGTTTAATGCAACAGACACTTTTTTACAAAGTGAAACCATGATGTATTTTCAAACAGACGATATCGTGAATATATCTACACAACGAACATGAAACATCACTATATAGTAACACATACACTGTGTAAGTACACCGTCGACCGAGCATGTGTACATATCGTACACATCCGGTTCGTACGACACATACCTTCAACGCCACCTTGTATAATTGTATGTGCGTTTGTATTACTTTCTTGATGATGGCGACATTTTCCATGTCAGCAAAGTTCAGGCTTAGATTGGTGACAACCCTCGGTAAAATCTCACAGTCATGTTTACTGGAAAATAAGTACATTTAACTCGTGACTTTCTTGTGCTAATAAACAATAACCAGTATTATATATAAAAATAATAAAATTAAAATCAAAATAATATGATAAATAATTTATATATATACTAGCTGCGGGTACCCGCTGCGCTGGGTAAAATCGTGGGCTACCACTAATTCATCATATAATAATGCGGACACAATAGGAACATTGGTAAAAATCGGCACAATAACATTGCACACATATGAATATTATAGAAAATCAGTGGTATAGATAAATATAAGCATCGGCAAAACTGTACGTATAGCATTTGATATGACAGCACAACCCAACTTAGAACCCCTTGCCGAACATAATAGTAATATGGGTGTAAATGCAAAAGTTATTATAACAGCATGTACGAATGGGTTGCACTTGTTCATTGTGAAAACCTCTTTGATAAACACAATGTTTTCGGACCTGTTATTCTCTGTGGTGGAAATTATGTAAAGATTCCTGGCTAGTCTCGAACTGTTGAGCCTCCCCACGTACGTGCATCTGCAGCGTATGGCACGCGTATCCGCCCGCACGTAACCACGCGATGCGCGTTACGTATCGATTCAGGTCAGCTTCGCATTTCAAAGGCCACCTGCTGCATAAAAGGGCTACGGCTTCGACACCGCACTACCTTACATCGCCCTTTCACTCGCCTCACTTTCAGTGTACGTTATATATCTCGGCTCTTCATGGGCGCATCGCCTCTCCCCTACTCGTAACGACGAAGTTATCTTAAGAGTACTCGCTTTCTCTATGCTGCTTCTTCTCTACCATCTCCATCTCACGTTGGATGGTTATCAAATTTGCGACCTCCCTGCCACTCAATGCGATAGTCTAGCCCCGTTACTCAGTTCACTTCCCGCAGTATCACCAAGATCACAGGCACAAAACGACGTAGCTGATTCCTGGAACTTCGTAGCAACCATGCTCAGTCCATCCATGCCGCTTACGTCCTTACTTGGCGCCCCTATATCTTCACCAAACTCTGAAATCTCGCTCTATTCAATTCGTCTATGAACGCAGACACACCTCACCGAGACGGGTATACCTGGTCTTCATCCTTTTCTATACGGCTCACATCCGCGAACCCAGGATGCCTCCGCCAACTTCAAAGTCGCTGCGCTGACAAAATCGGGTCCTGCCATTCAGTAGAGCTCTAGTGCGGCGCATCCGGCCCTTAAAACAATGCCAAGTCGTAACCTCTAATGGCGCTGTGCTTGTTTTAGCTCAGCGTGCTCGGTTTCGGTTTCACCAATACCAGCAGCTGACTGGAATGATGTGATCGATTTTCTCTTGTGGCAGCACTGTAACAGTCAGTTGCTGACATTGTGTGAAAGATTTTCACAATTGAGTGGGGTTTTTTTCACGGATTTTTCGGTGAGTTTGACGCGTTTGGCCAGGTTTTTCACTTCAGGAACACTCCCCGGGTATAAGAGATGCCCTGTGAAAAATTGGCATCCAGATCGCTGCGGCGTTTTTGCGCCGCCTATAGGAAGATACATAACATACATACATTTACATACATACATACGCAACTCAAATATATATTAATATATATGGTTACATTACAGTGCCGCGTTTTTTACGTTAGGGGCTACTAAAAAAGCCTAAATCAATGTGTCTCCAGTCAATATCCTTCAACACAAGTAGCAAGCTCCACTGCATAGTGAATTAATACTGAAATATTATGAGCTATTGGCCTAATATAAACACAAAGCTCAATACTACCCTGTTTTATTACATAAATGAATAAAATTGAACAAAATTCAAGGCCTGATTCAAAACTATGTTAAACGGCTGTCACATTCTATGGCAATTTCTGATGCCCTAGCTATTACTATTATATATAATAGTATGTAGTATGGTATGTTTAGTCAGTGAAATAAATTCTTCGCTACTGATGAGCGTTCAGCACGCCAGACACTAACCTCAAAAAAGAGCCCCAGCAGGCGTTCGCACTACGAGCTCATCTGGGCGTCTGTCCCACGTTATCAAAACTTCAGTCTCGTGTGCTAGTGGACACATTTGTTAGGCCGCGATATGCAGATACGCAGTTGCGTTACACAATCATTGTTTAGACACGCTCCTAATCTCCCCCCATCCGATTTGGTTTATTTTATTAAATGATACTTGCCTTTCACTTCGAATTTTGTGTCATAGGATCACATCTATCTAGTTTTTTACTCTATCTATAAAGATTTTCAACATAATGAGCATCGATCTCCAAGTTTAATTAGCAGGGGAGCGGGGTCCTCCTCATCCCCCTCCCTCCCCACTGCGTCCCACCTCCCTCCCCCTGCCTCCCCACTTCATCTCCTCTTGCCTCTCCACTTCCCCCTACCTCCCATCTCTCCTCCCCCTACCTTCGACCTCCTCTCCCCTGCCTCCCACCTTCCCATCCTTGCACAACATCTTCCGCGACGACCTAATTGTACCCCGTTGTTCCCGCCGCATTACACACCGTATCATCACCGTTTTCCTGTCCCCGTCTCAATTTACTACTCTCTCCTCTTATCTTAGATTATCTCTCCTCTCTTAATTATATTGAAAAAAATTGAAAAACCAGCCGATGATGCCTTTATGCCCCCTTTAATTAAATGCTTTCTTCCTATGCCCCCTGGAGTGTAACAGTCATAGAAATCATAATAGTATATGTCTCTAATATTTCTATAGGTAACAGCTTATGTCGCACAACGGTACAATGGATACGCACGGCTCAGAGCTACATGCATAATAGTTGAAGCCATTCAAGCATGAAAAGTAAATATATATATATGATAATATGTACTAGTTATTATTTTTCGTTTAACAACAGTTACATGAGAATAAAATCTAATTTAAACTTAGGCCTATAGTTGCGCGAGATGCTGCGGTTGCAAGTGTTAATCAATAATCAAAGATAGGCCATCGTTCCTGAAAATCGTACAGTAGTTACAAAACCGGCGCTAAAATCCAAGTTAGTTGATATTCAGGCAGTGCCCTCAGCTGTGATAACCAGTGCCATTGCAGCCTTCGTTGGCAGGCAACAATTATGATAAGAAGCGTAGCCGCCATGGCCTGCCCTGATGTTTTGCCTCCGTAGCCATTCACTGCATTTCATCATTCAGCCTTCAGGCCTAATGCAGGGTGCCTATAGAAGACTGCTTTTAGAAAATCATATTGAGTTTAAGGAGCGTAAACCTGTTCCAACAAACATTTGCCTTTGCAATGTAAAACTGTGCCAACTGCTAGCCCTCACCATTGACACAGGTATGGCCTAATAATAGCAAAAAGCATGTTCAGTCACTTTGTGACAGCTGAACAAATCCCATGTTAACCCTCCTCACTGAGAGCGTCAAAAGCGTTATCGCGACACTTACTCTTCGCATGTCAAGCAGAAGGGACATTTCATGGTCCTTTCCAATAAAGCCATAAAAAATGCTACGGTCAGACCGAAACAAAAACAGTTTTTCAATCGCCTCCGATCAGACCAAATGTCCTCGAAAAATGTCTCTAAAAATCTGCACCTCTCCACTGACTTTGACTGTTGACCTACCAATTTCGCACAGTGATGGCTTTTCCTTACCATGATGCTCTATACAACCGACTATCACAGCCTAGCGTCGATGCATTAGATTGTGCCACAATTTCTGCATTTTCCCTATACCCTCTAAGTTTAAGGGAGTGTGTTTCCCCACTTCTTTTCCCTCTTTGCCTTTAAAACCTTTGACCCCCAGCTTCGACATCCAATCTCTTTTGACGATCCCCCCGCAACGACCCGAAGTGATTTCGGGTGAGCCGGTACGTCGTAGGGCGCCGGTTAAGATTTCGTGCCCAACTGTTGGCACGGAACGAGGGGTCCACGACGTCTACGACCGGACGGACGCATGTGGGAGCGAGCGTGCCGTGCACGATCAAGCGGATTCTACAATGGCTGCATCTGATTAATGTCATGATGAGCTAAAAAGCTTTTTACCGAAAGCGCTATAGGATCTGATTGTTAAGATTCATGAAGTGGCCATTGCCAAGATAAAAGATGCAGAATATTTGTGATATTGTTATAATATGCGTTATAATACATGTGTATAATAGTAATTATTCATATATAAAGGATTATAATATCTACTTACCAAGCCTTCTCATAGAAGGGGGTTGAATCAAGTTCGGTTCACTCTAGCGACTTATCGTGTTTGAAGATGAAAGCATTTCCTACAAAAGAAATCGATGCAAAACAGTAGAAAATATGAAACTTTATGCAAAAAGAGAAAGGTGAAATACATGCCATGAGAGACATATTCCTATGTGTTATGACACGAAAAAACCTTATTATCGGATTTATTCAACATATATTTAAATATCCAACTCTTACATCAAGAAATTATCCAGAGATTTGCATCTTTGTGGTTTATTAGTAAGGCTCTTGGGCACCTGAAAAAAAAGGTAAGGTGGTAGCTGATGTTATTAATAATAGCCCTTGGTTGCATTATTTCTTCAAATTCGTACGCGACCCGCTTATATTATTTCCTGTACAGCCAAATAATATGATGTCGTATGTCAGAAATTGTCTTTCCATTACTGTTTTTGATCCTGCTATGATCTTTAATCGCAATCAATACAAACCTGCTTCAGATTTGCCGACCCTCCTTGCTGTCTAGTCGTAACAGAGACGCATTCGTTAGACAGCCTAACACCTAGCAATTAAACAAGAAAGTGATTTATTATCAGAGAGGGCATTCAGACCCGTACGCGGAACGTGTCGACGGTGCGAGACTCCACTTTTTTGTGGGACCAACGATTAAAGAAAGTGATGAAACTAATACGGATTTACAACCCATTTCTATTTTTCGTTCTTTTTAAATAGTGACATTGTTATCTCCTCAGTCTGTTTGCCAAAAATCCATTTTGAAGTTAAAAAATTTGCAGAAATGTCTACGTTTGACTTCGCTTTTGGCTGCCTGTTTTCACTGTCACACTGCCTTCAAAACGTGCCCCAAAAATCCGGTCTCAACAACATATATTTTCAAAATTTTCGGGGGGGCATGCCCCCAGACCCCCCTAGAGATTGGCGCCTCTGGCGCTCATTAGGTCTGTATACTCGTTGGATCGCACCCTCCCATAAAAAAGCCTGCCCAAGAGCCTGGCATTGATGTAATCTCAGCGATCGATAGCGAGACGAATGACGTATAACAAATAGAAAATAAAGTTTTTGTGTTCCGCGAGTTCTTAGGCTGGTATGCCGTTAGATGCAATTTACCATTCCTATTGCGCACAAGTTTGCGTGACCCGTTATACTTTCTGACAAACTTTATGCTTGATGGTACGATCTAAAGGTAGGGTGCGTCTATCATTACATTTACAACCTGCGATGCCGTGCCACCTAATTGACACGCGTTGCCAGTCATATTTTGCTCTCAAAAAGTCACTGAGCATTCAACACTGCCTGGTGAGTGGTGTTGCAGCAAGGAACGTTCGCAAATTGGCCCGAACTGTGTATGTACTAATGTGTCCGGGGTTTATTGATAGGGACGATCCAGGAGTGCCAGGACGTTGCACCACAAAGGAGGGAAGGTACCTTTAATTAGTTCATTTTTTACTTATCATGATCCGATCAGGCGATCTGCTACTGCTAGGAACTGTGCTAGTCACCTTATCGTGAACGGCCTCAGATGCCGGCACGGAATCATCATCGCCATCATTAAAGAAATCGGCAGCGGAACTACGGCCTTTGTCCATTGTTCCTTTTACTCGTTGACAACAGATTTCCTAGACAATGCGTAAAGTACCGCTTTATTTATTTTATAAACATCTTTTATAAGAAAACAACTAACACGATATTCGGCGCACAACTATAAGTGCTGTTCATTTGTTGACGTAGAGGGCAGCACATATAGGAAATGGCGATTCCTTCATGTCTGGAAAATTTCCCAATAACAAATTTGCGAAGAAAAATACATTTTCTGTGGCGGAAAAAGCGACTGAGACAAAGTGTCATTTGAGGCTTATCATCTTAGTTTCACTTTAATTTTATCATGACTGACCTGTTAAATCCGCAGGAAAATTCAGAGACGCGTTCACGAAAAGGCGAGAGTGCGGCGGCAACGTCACACGCGAGTGATAATTTGATCAATTTCGAAGATCAAAACACGGAGCTATCGAATGCCGGTGTTTACACGAAAGAGGAGGATAGAAGT